AAAAAACATTTGGTTAACATAAAACTTGTAATCGAATAGTGTATTCGAATAAACCTTATCTCCATTTCAGCCCATTCACACCAAACTGCTGCCAAATCTTCTACTTTTACATACTCCACCTCAGTGCCGCGTTCAAAAACAACACGCGCATCCTCCACTTGATCATTCGATTCATAAAATTTCGCGAATTCTACCCACAAGGTATGTAATTTTCCAGCTGCTAATTTTGGTTGCACAGTTTGCACAGCTTCGGTGTAGGTATTAATAATCTCATGTGGCTTGCCTTCGTATAACTTCACGCGTTTGTGCCATTCATGCACATTGTGTGGATTCTGACGCAGCAACACGCTATTCAATAGCAATAAACGACGCTCCATAAGATATTCAAAACGCGCCAATCGTAATTCCACATCAATGTCATCTTCCTCGGTTGCATGTGGATCATTTGCCACCATTTCCATGCGTTTATTTAATGACACCTCTTCAAATTGGGCATACTCATCGAAAACCTGCGTAAAATCACGTACTGTTGTAACAGTCTGTATTGCCTCTTCATAAACATCGCGTGCGCGATCAAACAAACCCGATCGCACGTAGTAATCTGCCAAGGAGTTCCAAAGGTGACCCAGCTGATCGGTGTACCTAAAATAAACAAAAGATCGTGCTCTAATTTGGAACAAAGTATTTTTACTAGTGATGCACTTACCTCCTGAGCCCACTGCGTATTATAGCGTCCACATTCAACGAATGCACCTTATCAGGGTTTTTCGAAATCAAATCGCACAGTTCATTCCATAATTGATGATTTGATTTGCCATGTTTCGATACGAAATGCTCGTTGTCCACTACCGATGCCAGTTGTTGTGCTGCTTCATCTAACCGCCCGGCTTCAGTTAAATATTCAATATATTCTTCCGCATCATCTGGGCACAACTTCAAATAACGTCTGTAAACGCGTAGGGCGGTTTCCGGTATATCGAAACGTCGTACAAATTTCAAGTACAGCGGCCAAATGCGATGATGCTGAGTAATGGGCAATGCGCGCAAAGCGCGATCGAACACGTGCCTGGTACGCGTAATGCGACATTGTGCCGTCATAAATACTCCATAATCCATCCAAATACGTGGCATTTTATGCATAAAAACTAGTGCTCTCTCAAAGGTATTATTTACTTCATCATACATGGGATCGTTGAGTGGGCGACCACGCACTTGCTTGCGACGTGTGCGTAAATAATTATACCAGATTTTGTAGCTACCGGGTAACTCCTTGAGTGCGCGCTCAAATACAATGTTCACTCCGCAATTGGGCGCTTTGGATTTATGTTCAATATAGCGTAGCCAATGTTTTACAGAGTATGCATTGCGCAAAATTTCCTCCTCGTAGGGTACATCTTCCTCTGGCTGTAATGTAAAGAACGTACATGGAGTTAGGGGGAAGGGGAAAGTGCAGCTCACAAATGTGGCAAGTGAAAAAAAAATCAAGGTGCTAAAAATTTAGGCACATTTACTTACAAACTCGATATCAACCGCAATTAATGGCTTGTCAATTAGAGTCATATTTGTGGCAACAACTATTTTAATTGCTCCCGCACTATAGAGAAAACTATACACAAAAAACGTACCAAGCGGACGCAAAATTGAAAAGAATACGTTCCCAATTCCAGCACAATCAGCTGTTCGAAAAGATTGTCAAAATGATGTAGTGTTGTAAAATTCAAAAAAAGTCTACACAACGTGAAACATTTAAACTGCACCCTGTTGAAAGAAAAAAGAACAGAATGTGTCAAGTGAAAAATTTCAAAGATGTAATGAAAGAGTTTGCTAATGTATATCGCTAAAGGTGCTGTTAATCGTGGCCATGGAAGCGCTTTTTCGACGCATTACGCTGTCAAAATGCGAAATCGAATGTCTGCTTTTACGTGTAAACAGCCAGAAAGTCCTTTTTGAGATTTGCTGAAATCACTTTTGGAAATAAATATTGCAAGGTGGAACTGCATCTGAAATTACGAAAATCGCTATGGAAAATAATTTAAACTTGTTCGTGCTGCACTAGCAATTTTCATTTTTGCTCCGAGTGCTGTCCACCAAATCGAGTGTTTCCGTGTGACCAAAGAACGTAGATAATCTACGTTCTTTGCCAAAAATTAAACAATCAAAAAGTGTAAAAAAATTGGAGTTGCTTATTGGCCAATTTTTTCGAATCATCGAAGCAACTCTGCAGAAGATGTAGAGTTGCCAAATCTTTTAAAATGTAATCAAAAAGCAACTCTGTATGCTTTGTTGGATATAGCGAAGGCAAACAATCGATGAATGCTTCTGTCGATAGTGTTTCGATGTCACATAAAAATTAAGCATATCAACTTCATTAAAAGCATTTGTTTTTGAATGCAAAAAAGTTAATAAACAGCACTCATAGTGTTAAAATTAATTGTCTCCCCACGTCGGCTTCTGTGGAAGTGATGCTATCATCATACCACTCCGGTATCTAGTAAATAGTAAACAGTTTCACAGTTGCGTTAATTTCTTCTATTTACATATTTTCACAAACTTGGAATAACATAATACAGCCATACCTATGTGCTTTTTTGAAATTCTTTTTATTGATATAAATTCATTCATTTGCGGTTTTTTACGCAAACAGTTGGCGAATAAAATGAGCTAACATTGCCTTAACTTTAGTTGAGTAGGAAGCAGATGAAATTAGCAAGTAATTATCGTTCCCACGACAGTCGGGTCTACGTAACCGGAGAATGACCCAGATTTTTATCTGGCCAAGGACTGTCACTTCAGCAACACTCACCAAAAATTCTTTGGGGTATATGTATGCTGTTACAACAACAACAACAAATGGAAGTAAGTATCGGTGGCATTGGCAGTCATGCGATTATTGATAGAAAACAGGCAATTTTTACAGGTAGCTACCAAGTCCTAACACCTTCAGGCTTAGCTCTTAACTATAAATAAAATTTTTTGTTAAATAACATAAAATGGGACTTTGAACGAAAATCAACATAAAATAAAATACATTATCGCTATGCAAACCTATCGATTGCCACACTACACAATCGATGGTTGTTGATAACGGAGAACCATCGAAAGTATCGATAGTACCATCGATTGTTTGCCAACTCTAGTTGGATAGTTTTCTGTAGATTTTTGACGTGTGCGGTTGAAGTTTTCATTGTAGTCGATAAGCAAATAGAAAAGCCAGTGATAGTTTAACAAATATAAGTAAAGTAAATTTAATAAATAATAAACAAAAACATATATGCATTGTGCACTCATACATTAAAATCAAAGAAAGATTGAGTTCACGGCAAATGTGAAAGACGATACAAAGGACGAAGACTGAAAGATTCACGTATGTATGTATATATGTACATGTTTATTCACTTGTCTCAAAATTCAGTCGGCAAATTATGGTGGAAAATGCTCAAGTTAAAATATGTATAATATATGTAGTAGAAACGATCTAAATTACATGTTATAAACATAAAGTTTAAAAGAAATGCAGCCAAATCAAGTTTCAGGTAGTTGACATTGCCATTATGTACATGTGTACAAATATTGCGCTGCCGTCGCCGCTGACGCGTACATTACAATTTAAAATGATTCTAGTTGATTTGCCCTTTCCGCTGTCTATTTTAAGGTTTAATTTTATTATATGCAAATGAATATTTAGTTAAACTAAATTAATATAAATTAATAATTCATAATCACACATTTCTGACAGCCAATTAGCGCTGTTTGTATGACGCGGCAGAAGATGGACTTTCTCTGAGCAGCGCAGTCGCTTTGTGTGCATTCTTTGTTAATTTATGTTGGCTTGGACGCGTGTTTGCTTTATTACTTTTCAAACTATTAAGTGAGATAACCAGTTTGCTGCATTTCTTATTTTTTATTTAATTTAATACTTATAAGTATATAAATGTTTGCAGATGCTATTAGTAGATTCAATTTTATGGACATACAAATAGGGAATAGTGGGTGTAATGTTAATTCATGAAGTGCATGAATGTGTCATAGCTTGAATTTTCGGTACATTTAGTGGCAAATGTATACATATGTAAATACATAAACTTAACTAAATAAGAACATTTTCCAAACCTTAATTGGTTTTCGATGTTTTATTTTGTACGGTGCAGAAAAAATGTGAATTTGCGTGAAAGCAACTTGTTTTAAACTTAAAAAAACCGAATACGCTGGCGTCCATTAAACTAAACAAAAAATTTTAAGTGCTTCAAAAACAAATTTCCCCAATTCGTGTTGTTGAGTTGGTTTGTGTAGAACGGCGCTTTAAAAGGACGAGAAATAAAACAAAACACTTTTAAGACAAGGACTAAAGGTTAGTATATCATACATTGTCATTCGCCTTATTAAATTAAAATCCAAATTTAATCAAAAGTAATTTTTAGAATCTAGGATATTTATAAAAAAACAATAATTTATTTATTATGAATTTAATTAAATATAAGATAAACCTGAGCTGAAATCGTAACATCCGTTCACGGATCGAAAACGATACGAAAGAAAATTACGTGATACGTGAGGCAGTATAAGCTGAATGAGACAAAGAGTACATTCACGTATGTCATAATCCGAAAAATGTGCTTCCACGTGACGAGTAGTACGATATCGTATGTGACGATTCGAGCCCAGTTATTTGCTTTATCGTCACATGTCCCCCCAGAATATAATTCGGTAGGCCATCGTAAGCCCAAGGAGAGCTCTCAAATGTGCTCCTCTGCATTCCTTCTGGGTGGGCCGAAATTAATGTTTTTCACATGCACATGTTGCTTAAGGGTCACAATTTTGTTATTATTTATCACATGTGCACGTTGCCTAAGGATTACACTTGCCAAAAGTAGGGGGGGCCTCCGCCCCTCTTCTCAGGCAACAGAAATGAGAATTATATTTAGTAACGGTTATAGTCCCTAAGAGCGGCCGGATTCCGCCTACGCAAAAATAATTTGTTCAAGGTCTCCGAAGCATGGGAGCTCCACATTTATGAACAAGAAATGTTATATACCCTTGGCGGCCCTCTTCTTTGGCAAAACGGAAAGGCACAAGTCATTGCCTTGCATGTACTCAAAACAAGCGAAAACGCAAGTAAAAGTTGTGATTTTTCCCCCGGGGCCTAGGAAGTCGCAAGTTACATTTTTGTAAACGGCAGTTCATGCCCTCTCTAAAATGGGGTGTGTGAGGTTTCACTCCCCCCCTGCAACAACACGATCGGTTTGTTTGTTGACCACTAACAAGAGCTAGTCTATAAAAACATTTGGCGTACTTATCCTGAAATGTGTAACTTCAATATTTTAATAGATAAGCATTTAATTTAAAATAATCATTAAAAATAATGCAAAATAAAAAAATAATGTAGTAATTTACTTAACTGCTTAAACAGTTCTAAAGAAATTTTGAAACAGAGTGTCATTTGATGTCAATATTGCATATCCTTTTAAATAGATTAAGAGAATGATGTACCATTTAAAAAAGAAATGCTATAATATAGGTACCTAACTGGTTAAAAAATTTTAACATTTTTTGAAACTGGTGGCAACCCTCTTCAAAAATATTTTCGTTTGATAGCAATATTGCATATCCTTATTCAGTCGATTTTGATGGTTATTAAATAAAAGCATTGGGCCGGCCGCATGCATAAAAACCAAGCAATTGCTTTGTCTTAAAATTTCATACCTTTCACTTAAATATGTTTGAACAAGTAGAGTTCTGAAATATTAAGGAAAAGCATTTACTTATTCGATCATTTTTTGTGTGCATCCCCGGAAAAAGCAAAATCAAAACAAAGTGTAGCCAAAAACATGTCTTCTCCATGTTTGAATAATTTTTGTACACAATTATTTTATTATTTTCATTAATTTTAATCTTACTCAACTTACATACATACATACATATGTAGGGGTTAAGGCCTACTACATTATTCGTCTCGCGAAGATGGCAACTCTATAAACTTTGAAGAAATAAGTAATTAAACATACCTTTGCTTGTTGCATACATTTCCTGATTAAAGAATATAGAAAACGACTTCTATAACTGGTGACCCCGACGATGAATATGGTCAGCGAAGGAGAAGACAGATTTATGGACGCTGAAAACATGCTGCATTTGGGGCGCCTTGCTGTTAAACCGCCGCCGTTTTGGAAACCTGATCCACGTCTGTGGTTTGCTCAGGTCGAGGCGCAATTTGCGCGCGCTGGTATCACGACAGACGATACCAAGTACTACACTGTTGTCGCCGAGATCGATTCGGCGATCTTAATGCACGCCAGCGATATTATTGCATCTCCCCCAACTACGGGCAAGTACGAGGCGTTAAAGGAGAGACTACTAGCTGAATTTGGTGAGTCGACAGAGAAAAGGCTTAAGCGACTTTTTGAGTCATGCGAATTAAATGACAAGAAACCGACTACGTTACTACGGGAGATGAAAGATTTGGCACATAATCGATTGGATAAGAGTATACTGAAGTCAATTTGGTTGCGGCGTTTGCCTCTGCAGGTGCAACAAATCTTAACGACATTGGATGAGGATGTAGAAGTGTTGGCGAAAAGGGCCGACAGCATAATGGAGGTAACTACTACCAACGTAGTGAATGCGGTAAACGCGTCTAACAACAGCAACGTGGAGGTTGCTACCATTGCTGACCT